TGCACAGGAGCAGCAGGTATCCTAAGGGTTTTTCATGAGGACCCATCCATTCCAGTGGCACTGGCAGTAACAGCACTGCTGTTGTGCCTGTGCTGCATGGGTCAGCCCTCTGGCTGCTGGCAGCCATCTCCTCGAGAAGAGAATGAAATCCAAGTGGCAGGGTAGGCACCTCTGAGGAGATAGCTCCTAACTGTTCCCACAGAGTTTGAAAAAAGAGGTTTGACGGATTTACAGAGGAAAATGGCTGAGAAGGGATTGATAAACACACAGAGAGATCTAACTAGTGTGTCCCATCACTCCGAATAGCTGATCATAGCGAAAGTGCTTCAGGGCAGTGTCGGGAAGAATTTGTTGATGTGAACTCGTGTCTCCCTGAGAGAATCATGCTGTTTCGGGGAAGGGACCGTCCAGAGAGGGTTGTCGTAAAGAGGAATGCAACAGTGGGGTGGGCATTTGTCAGGAGGAGCTGGAGAGATGATCACCAGTGCTTTCTGAAGGCAGAGTTGTGAAGATGCCAGCTAAGACTTGATAGCTAAGCTTCCTCACAGCCACAGTGTGAATACAGGCTTCCTTCCCCTTGGTGCCAGTGTTTGCAGCAATAAGCTCTCGATGCCAGCTTGAATCCCAGGCAGCAGAAATTCCCCAGTGCAGCTGGGAATCTCCTGCATTTCCCATGCTTAGACTACACAAACATGACCATCCACAGAGCAGTCAGCTCTCTGTTAAGAGGCTCAACTGATGGTATCTGGACTGTTGTGAACTATCTATTGTAGTGCCCTCAGTGCCACCAACAGCTCAAGAAAGGAGAGCACACATGCCTTCTTCAGTGACCTCTGTAAAGATCTATCTGTCAAGGGCCAGGGTGGCTTGGGTCACTTTTAATCAAAGATATAATGGTAATATCAATTGCTATTCAAAAAGTCTGGAAGAGTGTGAGCATCTGAATGGGAGCTGCATTGAGTATATCCTGCCTTATGTGAACAAGTGTACTGAATTGCATTAAATACCTCCTTAAAATACTGCTTTGACTCAAAATTCACTTAAAATACCATCTGCATCACTGGGGGAGCTTTTTGCAAGAACTGATTCAGGAGGAGAACTTTAACGAGAGTGGCTGTGCATGTAGTTGTTCCTTTACATGGAAAATGCCAGTGCTGAGGGAGGTGAATAATTTTTTAATGTCCAGATTTACCTTGACATTTGCTTGGGCATGAACTGAGTTGAAAATGCATGTATTGGTGCTGTAAAGTCATGTTGATACCCAGAAGGACATAATGTTTAAAAGGATATTTCAAACAAATTTGATTAGTAGATATCTTGTACCTTCTGATTTTCGATTATTCAAGCTATTCTCTATGATAGCTATGGTCAAATTTAATGTTTACTGATTGCCAGGAAGTGAAAAGATCTAAAGCTGCAAAGCATCCAGATGAACATTTCTATTGTGCTTTGAAGCTGAGAACTAGAAAATTATCTGTAAATGTGAGAGAAAATTAGACATAAACCAAGATTTCCTTTTCTGAAGCTTTGAAAATATTTGCTTTCCTCTCTTTTTAGGAGCAAGGTCTCTATCTCATTAAAAACTTTTATCTAAAACTCATCCGAATCGAGCAGAATGCAGGAATTTGTGTGCGCTGAAGACCTTCTCTAGCTGTTTAGCAGTTGCCACTGAGAGAATGGCAGGTAAAGTGGTCAGTGCATCCTTTGGCTAGGAAAGGCCTCAGCCTTCACTGAATCAATCTTTTGGAACACTGTTTACAAAAGCTTTGGTAAACAAGCTGTGTTTGTGCGTGTCTCTTACACTTTAAGACTAACAAATTGAGATGAACTGCAGCAGATCTGTGAAGGCTGGGCACGCATACACAAGGGCCTGAGTTGATTTATCTTGATGTTTGGTTGAATTCTTTGCATTTTGGGTCCCTTCTGTAACCTTTTCACCTCGTTCTTTTTTAAGGTGGCTGCCTGGCTGTTACAATTTATCATGAACGCATCTCACTTCACTTTTGGCTCCTCTGACGGAAGGAACAGCCGGTCTCTGGGAGGTCAAAGACATTATTTTCCCTTCGTCTTTCTCAGTTTCCAGCACATATTTGTCACTTTGAAAAAGCATGAATTCTGGATTTGATGCACTTTAATTGATTTCACCCTCAACAAGTCCAACTGTCCATCAACCTTCCCTTTTTCTTTCCTTCCCTCCCCTCCCCCTTTTTCATTTCTTTCCTCTGTCCCTTTACTTCGTGAGTGATGTTTTCACCCGCCTGCATGCTGAAGCTGTTGCAAAGCCCATGACCCCATCAAGCCTTACTGTCACTAGCCATTTCTCTCATTTTCCTCATCTTCCAAGTTGAACTTTGGATGTTGAATGAGAATGAAATCTTATAGGAGCACTGGTCTTGTACACTCTTATTAATGTGTTCTTTGTCTGAGTGGCTGCTGGCAGCTAGTTAAATTTGGCTGATAGTCCACTTATAGTCTGCTGTGCAAATTTGGAAGTGAGAGAATTCATATTTAGTCCTCAATAATGATACTGATATTGTACTAAGGCAGAGGTGAGATACCATCTCTTCTTTCCTTATGGAAGGATATACACACTCAGCATGACGCAGTTATAAATACAGTTGTATAAAATAGTCGATACGCAAATGAGGCACTGTCATAATGTTTCTTGCTTGTTTTGTGAATTCACAAGGCATGAATGGCTTCCCTGGGTCCTATTCAACATAACCTTGGGCACCACCAGGCATGGGGCACCCACACTCCCACACTTGCTTCACAGCCCTCTGAGTAAAGAATTTCCCCCTAACATCTAATTTCAGTCTCCCTTCTTTTAGTTTAGAACTAGTCCTCCTCCTATCACTATCAGACCACACTAAAAAAAAAAAAAAAAAAAAAAAAAACCATCTTTTTTATGCATTCCATTTAATGATAATTCCTTGGACTAACGTGCACTCACCGGAGGAGTGCAGCACCTGATGATGAACAGAATTGGTTCCAGGCACTTTATACAAGTGAATTCATCACCTAGCCGAGGTTAATTAATTAAAAATGGCTGGAAGCTGCCGGGTGCCGGGGCTCCGGGGCGGCCGAGCGCCGCGCCACGGCGCGGGACTGCTGTCCATGGTCCTGCGTGGCTGCGCGGCGCGGGCCGGGGCAAACGGGCGGCTTCGTGGGCAAAAGAAGCCGAGTCGTTCCTGCAGATCGCAGGCGGTGCATGTCAGCATGGAAATGAGTGTTCTGCAAGGAGCTGCAAAGGGTGCTCCATTACTACTCATGGAACTCACAGGCTTTCTTTCTGTGATTTGCCTCTGAGGGGGCTGTTGGTCCAGCTGTGTGAAGACTTGTGCAGTGAAACTGGACTGTTGTATGTTGGATCATCTTCTGAGTGTTATCTTAGTGTTTAGAAAAGAAAGCCCTAGACCTTTATATATCAGTGACAGACAGGATTCCTTGCAGGGAAACATGCCCCTGGTTTGGATATTTCAAGTACAAGTGTTTTTGTACAAATATTATCGAGACAAAACTTGCTCTTTTTCAATCTATGGATTACTTTTATCCTTACATCAGCAAAAATTCTTCCTATCTTGAGGTTATGGTGACTTTATTTTTCCTTTCATTGAGATGAGAATATTTTCGTTTTAAGGAATTTTCTAGTGTCCAGAGCTATGATGCAATAGGAGCTTAAAACATTGTTCTGTGCTTGTATTGTCTGCTGTTACTACCTTCTTGGTAATACTGGGAGATCAGGGGCTAAGAGTATAAGATACATTAATATGACATTCAAATATTTCAAAGGCTATCCAGGGATTTAATTTCTTGGGAGTGAGTGCTATCCTTTTTCTGTTATGCATAGTGCTATGCTTGGGGTAAGAACACACAGAAGGAAGAACTTAGTTTTAATGGGTTCTTTGCAGATTTTCAGCTCCTATGGGCACCATACTTGTGAAATGAACTGAACTGCCAGTTTACTGTACTCTGAAGAGTCTTTTCTATGGTCTTTAATTCCAGCTCAGAGTTCTAAGAGATGTTGATGTTACTTAAGATTTCTCATGTATTAGAGAGCTTGAGAATTTTTCTGGCAGTTTCTATTCAGAAAACAAAAACAAACACCCTTGCTTTATGTCTTTTCAGGACTTCCTCTAGAAGTTGTCCTACTGAAGAACAAATTGGAGTCGCTTCTCGCTGATAAAATCATTTTTATTGTGTCTAGAGAAATTATAGAGGGAAACAAAGATCTTCTCAAGTTACTGGCCTGCAGCATTCTCTTCTCTGTTCTAAAAGAACTGGAAAGAAGATCTGGTAATGCTGTTGTAGCGTAGGATGAAAAAATATACAAAATATACAGGATCAACCAGATTCCCTTCTTGGCTTTTTTTGCAGCTATAACCAGCCGGGCAGTGGTATGTGTTAGCTCATTAGATTGGTCAAACCCTGCATCTGTGCACTGCTCAAGAACTAATGAAAATTTCACGCCCAAGTAAGATCCGTCATATGTGGACGCACATGATACTGGCTGTCTGCAGAGCTTGGCTCCGGAGATGGGGAGAGCTGTCACCAAGGCAGGTTTTTCACACTTTGCTTGAAGCGACATCAAAAAGATTTTAACAGGGTTTTGTTTCTTTGTTTGTTTGTTTTGTGGCAGACTAAAGACGGGTTCTCTTGTTATTGTTTACTGGTAACAAGAATTTATTTCTGTGGAGTCACAACAGCGAACAAGACATCTGCTTCATTTTACCTTCTAATTCTATCATATAACTTAGCCAAATTATGCAGTAGGTCTTCAGATTCATTTAGCAGCTCATTTATTGAGTCTCTTAGTGTCTTCAGTAAAGCACTTTTTATTCACAAGCACCCAGAACTAATTGCTGTCTTACTTCCAATGCGCTGTGAATGTTACCTGTCTTAGCATTTAAAGAGAGGCACTCAGAGATGAAGTGTCTTCAAAATCATCTTGCAGGATATGGATATGCAGGATATGGATATATCTTGCAGGATATACAGCTTCAAATTCAGGATTGGAAGTCCAGTCTCATACTGTAATACCTAGTTTACATGCCTGCCTAAGGGGTTGCAGCACCTGATGTAGATGCTTGTCCAAAGAAAATGGCATGTAGGTGCCTAGGCAGTTTGTAGAATTAACTGAGAGCTGGATGCATCCATAAGCATCATGGTGTGGTCCTCTGCTGAGCTGGGAATCTTGTAAGAGCACTTTAGCTGCTCAGGAACTGTGGATGGCTGTCTGGATCTGCACTGCAGCAGAAAAAGGGATTATGTCTGTAATTTGCATATCCAGAAGGGCTTCTACACAGCTGCATGGGAGGGTATTTCATGCTGAAATAGGTGTTGATGAGATCTGGGTCCTTCTGAAATAGGAAACACTTGAGAGTGGATATTCTGGGTGTTTGAACAAAGTCATGCTTTAGGTACCTGATCAGGTGATCTGAATCCTGCTGCAAGGATCTCAAACCCTAGGCCAGCACTTCCTCCAGTACAGTAGCCTTCCCAGTTTCATTTTACAGTCAGTAAATTGGGCTATTATCTTATGTAAAGCCAAAAATTGCACACTCTATATCTGTATTTATGTCTCTGTATATCAAATATATATCTATATTTAGCAGAGCCCTGCTAAACTAGTTGGAAGCTTTCCAAACCATGCACAAAGTCAGTCTCTTGTCTTTTCTGTCAGGAAAGGAACAGTCTAGGGAAAGTATCGTGCTAAGTTCAGGTTGGTTGGCCTGGCAGTGCTGGAATTGGTAATATCATAAATACAGCCTTTTCAGTCTCTGGATGTACATAAGCAAAGAGGTCAAGAGGCCAGCAATAGCACTCCATAGGGGTTGTTTGAAGAGGCTTTTTAATAATTGTGAATGTTCAGGTAACATAAGACTTGTTTTAAAATGCGGACTCAGATTTGTTGCTTGGATGAGGTATAAACTAAGATTTGATCATATTTAAAAGTCAATCCATTTAAAGTCTAGTGTTCAGAGCATCTTTCATCTTTAAGAATTGCTTTACATGCTGGTAGGCTTAGAGTTTTTAACCATATTCTGTGAGTTGCCAACCATTGTGTAAGAGGCATGAAGTATCTCTTGTTGCTTGTCTCTTGAACAGATGCCTTCCTTTTCCCTACCCAAATCCAGAAGACAAAAATGTGTTGTGAATTTACCCACGTGATTTCAAGAAAGGATACACCACCCATTTTTTGGCAAAGATGTGGAAGCATTCATACTGCCTATTTTAATAGTCAGATGGAGGAAAAGAAGTCTTGAAAAGGAGAAGCAGAACAGTTACATTAGGTACTTGATGATCATTTCAATCTGAAGAGCTCTGAATTCCCCTCTGAAATCTTTTTCTCTTGGGAGTCTTAGTTCCTAAGTTAATTGGCTAATTAGTGTGTGTTCACACCACAAATCAGCCCAGCAAGACAAACTCAGAAGAGCTAATGCTGCTCACTTGCTGTCAATGGAAGCTGGGGATCTCAGGATCTTGTAGAGGCACTTGCCTCCCCTGCATGTCTGGGAATTAGGGGGTTGTTACTAGAACGCTGGAGAATTTACAGTGAAGAGGGAAGGAAACAGCACCGAAAAATCTTCCTTCACTAACTGGTGCCTGTGTCATCATCTCTCTAAAGAGAATTTATTTCTCTTGTTCTTTTCCTGTTCCAACTAATAACTTTCTCGGGGGTGGAGAGAGCTGGAATTGACTGAAGGTGCCCCAAGCTGAGAGATGTTCAGCACCCAGCTGATCCCTGATCTCCCTTGCAGGTAAAAATTGGACAACTTGTAGGCTGAACACGCCAGATGAGGAAGAGAAGGGTATGGCCTGGAGAGAGTTAGAGTTACAAAGCCAGCAACTGTTGGTGAGTGTGTTGGCTGAAGTGCTCTGCCATAGCCTCTGCAGTCAGGGCTGGCTTCAGGGAAGCCCAGGGGAATGGCCTTGGGTCATCAGATAGCATTTATGGGGGGCTATAGAAGTAAGCATGAATACACAGATCTTGTGGAGAATTAGTCCTACATAGGAATGAAATCCATCTGTGAGTTTGGTGGGGATTTTTTGTGTATTCAGTATTCTTATCTCAGGGCCTGCACTGGAATAAGTCATCTCTGAGTAATAGAAGGGAGAGTCTAAAAGTCCTTCCTCTGATAATTTTTGATGTCCCATTCATAGCCTTTTCTATCTGTCTTAAACTTTACTCTTCTTGCTATTTAGCATCATGAGGCACCACAAAACATTACAACCAGCAGTCCTCTGGAGACAAGTGTATTGTTGGGCCCAGCTTCCATGGAAGAGCAAGAAAGCTTGAGCAATGGCACCTCTTCTGCATTCAGTTGTGAGCATTTGCCCCAAATGCCTTCTGTCATTTCGGAAGATCCCATCCTTTTTGCTTTAATTGATTCTGTCTGGCTTTAATTTGATGTGAGAATAGACCTCCCACTGCGAGCTCTCAAGAGTGCTTTGTGTAAGGGAACTTGCAGGCTGGGTGTAGCTGTGACCAGGGACAGGATTATTTTATTGGAATAGGTAGACAAGGGCATTTTGGTTAGGTCCACTGAATTCTTTAAGTCTTTTACCAATTGAAACGAGGCTTTTTACTTCCTTAGTGGGTTGTGGGAAATGCTTGTACAACAATTTGAAAGCAAACCACTAAAATAATAATTTATTCTTAAAGCCACACGTGGGATTTCACAAAGACATCCAGAGTCCTATTGCATTGGTTTCCTGTAAGTAAGAAGCGGGAGATGATCTAGAAGGACTGGGACTCTGAAGTTTCAAGGAAGGGATTTGGAGGCAAGGAGAAGGGAGCGTATTTGGCTGCCATCACCAAACAGAATGATGGCAGGGATGAGGGTAAACAGGGGAAGTTGAAAAGCAAACATCCATGTGAGTCTGGTCAGCTAAAGTCTAAACAGCTCTTGAGTTTGTCTTATCAAATCAAAATATTTTGGTTCAGTAGTGTGTTGCCTTGAGTCAGTGTTTGTCTATGGTGACATGGAGTTGTAGAAACACCCAAATTGGAGGGTGCTGCATCCCCTGCTACTGGAGCTGGGATCTCTGCTGTCTGCTAAGGCCTAAGAGAGGAGCACATTGCTTTTTGGGTCAAGGAAAGGCTGCATGAGAGCAATCCTATGTCTTGGTTTCAGATTCTTCAGATGCTTTAAGGCATCTTCAGAGCTGCAGTGCCTTGTTCAGTGTGATTAAGTGTGCTGCTGCTTGGACCGCAAATAAGGGTTTTAAGTCAAATGGGAAGATCTTTGAGGGAAAACAGATGAAAAAGTATTCAGAGTTAATTATGAGAATTGTTGAAATGGCTTGAGTAATAAAAAATAGATATGTACTCACTTACTCATCTCATGCTATTAGCGGAATGTGCTTCTGCACCAAGTAATAGTGGACTGGGAAAGGTTGGAGTGTTTAGGAGACCCTGTGAAACACAAAATCACTGCCTGCACAAAACCTAATGTCACTAAAAGTCCAGTCTTTGAAGATGCAACCTGGTGATCTTCCAAAATTGTATTTCACAAAGACAGGTTAGGGTTAGGTGCTAAGCACAAAACAACTTGAAAATGTACACCTTAGGCTAGAGTAGGACCCTGTATATCTCCAAAACCCACCCACATCTCTCCCAGACTATTCCTAGTGGTAGCTTAGACCTTACTGGTTTTTTGCAAACAGTTTTGTTCCTATCTGCTGATTTTGTTCATCACTTCATAGAAATTGTATACAAGAATACCATGTATATGCTTTCACTAGAAATACTTCTTTTTTCCTTCCCTGTGTCAGAAACCCTATATTTTTTAACTTATTCTTTAGCCATTCCACCTGATCACTCAGTATTTCCATGTTTCAAGGAGATTTATCTGAATGGCATGTTTCCATGGCTGATATGCAGCAATAATGCAGGGTTAATACCTAATTAGTTCCCAGGGACATTGAGCTTTTCATGGATATTCAGTAACAAAAGAAACAACAAACAAGCTGAATTCCTGGGTCTTAATTCATTTGGGAGAACGAAACAGGAACCTAAAAATGCAGGAATTATTCAATGCAGTCCAAGCTTAGTCCATTCTCTCATGGAGCTCAGAAGATGCTATAGCAGCTGACAGGGAAAATATAACCTCCCTCCCTCCCTTCAGGGACTGTGTATGTGTCTGTGTTTGCAGCCCTGACATCTCCAAAGAGGAACATTCCCAGTTCTGCCACGCTTTAAATAGCTCCTTGCCCGTTCCCCTGCCTGCCGCAGCCCCCAGCCAACCTGACCCCATTTTCTGACATTCAGCCATACCTGATCAATTGTATCCTGAGCAGCTAGAGATGATCGGAGCTGGCCTTCCACCTCGCAGGATGGCGAGCATATGGGCCTGCAGGCTCCAGCCATTATATTCCTGAGCACTGAGCTTGTCTGCCTGTGGCTACAGAGGGTTTTTTCCCCTCTCAAGCAATCGCAAATAAACCTTTCTGATAACTAAAAGGAAAACAAACAGGCCCTTTGGCTCTGTAGGCACTGAGAAGGAGAGGAAAACAAAAAACAACAACAAAATCTGTGCTATGCTTAGGCAGCACGCAGCTTCAGAGGGCCCTCAGGAAGGAGGAATTGTCTGCCCTCAGCCAGAGATGGGGCTTTTCTCTGAGCAGAAAGGGCTCATTTCAGGAGGGATAGCCCTTGGTGCTGTACAGCCAGAAGTGGAGTGGGAGCTGCAGAGGTGAGAGGAAGTTTGGGTCAGAGGGATCCATCATCTAGATGAAAAAAAATTGAGTCTTTGAACTGCCCACTATAGGCAGTCTAGTGTTAGACTTGAAGTCTGAAGGGTCTGAAGGCTGAAATTAGCCTTGTGAGGGTAATTAGCCATTGGAACCGGCAGCAAGGGCAGAGCAGGACAGGATGGTAGAACCATAGAATCATAGAATATCCAGAGTTGGAGGGATCATCAAATCCAACTCCTGATTCCACACAGGACCACCTATAAATCAGACTATATGTCTGAAAGCACTGTCCAGACACTTCTTGAAACCTTGGCAAGCTTGGTGCTGTGACCATTTCCCTAGGGAGCCTGTGCCAGTGCCCAACTACCCTCTGGTGAAGAATTTTTTCTTGATATCCAGCCTGACCCTTCCCTGGCACAGCTCCAAGCTGTTCCCTCAGGTTCTATCACTTGTCACTAGGGGGAGGAGATCAGCATTTGCCCCTCTGCTCCCCCCCCACAAGGAATCCACAGGTTGCCATGAGGTCTCCCCTTAGTCTCCTCTTCTCTATGCTGAGCAAACCAAGGGACTTCAGACCCTTCACCATCTTTGCAGACCTCCTCTGGATGTTCTTTAGTAGTTTTATGTCCTTTTTGTACTGTGGCACACAGAACTGCTCACATTACTCAGGGTGGGGCCACACCAACGCAGTGTAGAGAGCGATAATCAGTTCTCTGACACAACTGGCAATGCCATGCTTGATGCATCTCAGGATACGGTAGGCCTTCCTGGCTGCCTGGGTACACTCTTGTTCAACTTGCTGTTCACCAAAACTGCCAGATTGCTTTCAAGGGGGCTGCTCCAGTGTCTTGCTCAACAGTCTGTGTGTATAGCCAAAGTTTGTCCTTCCAAGGTGCAGAATCCATTACTTTCTCTTGTGACCACCTTTCATGTGGCTGGTGATTGCCCAGCTCTGTAATTTGTCTAGCCCCTGCAGGCTGGGGGACATCTGCCAACAGCACAAAGGCATGCTGCCATGCCAAGTGAACTGAAAAGCTGCTTGCTAATGCAACACCTCTTAGACCAAGACTCCATATACTGGGTAGATTTACAGTTTCTTAGGGTTGCTCAACTGAAGTGCACTCCCAGCTGGCAACAAAGCTCTTTCCCTAAGACAATAAATGATGGGCTTTTTCAACTTGAGGTTGTCAACTTGAAGTCAGAGTCATGAAGAGCCTTTGAAACCTTTGCCTCAGCAGATATGGCCAAGGTTATCAACTTGGCACGTCTTCAGTGAACTTGGACGCTATCTTGAAATGCTGCCAGACTGCAATGCACTCGTACTAAAATGCTGAAACCACAGAAAGGGACCCCTGACCCTGTCACCTTGCTCTCCTCCTGCCTGCAAAGAGCCAGAGCACTAACGTTATCATGAAGGTACAACAGCTGGTACCAGGTATGAGTTGTGCTGCTGCCAAGGCGTCTTCTCTGAAGTGTTCGATGGGAATCACTCCTATAGAGTGAAGTAGTTCTGTTCCCTAAACATTTGAACTGTAGAAATGAGTAGGAAATCCATGTGGAAAATTCAGAAGGGGAAAATGAGAGCATAAACCATGGGATCAGCACCCACTGGGCCAAACAGTTGCTTCCCAAGAAACTCCATTGAAGCATTGAAGCATTAATTGCCAATTTATGCCAGCATTTCCAAGAGTCGCTCTTGGGACACAGCCAGTTCTGGTAGAGGATTAATCTTGCTGAGAAACTCCCTCTTGCCCATTGCTCCGTCTCTGACACACTCACACATGCAGAAAAACAAATGTTGGTGACCCTCCGACAACCCAGTTAGCTAACGGGGAATTAAGGGACATGAAACTCTAGCTTCCCCTTCAGCACAGCCCTACATCTGCCACAGCCAATTCAGAAGGCAGGACTAGCCACCTGCTAGTTGTTTTGCTCAGAGAGAAAACGTCTATTGGACACATAGGAAACAACTAATTCAGTCCCATGGGATGGACCAGCAATTTGCCATTCTCACTGTCTCCAGTACAGGTACTCAGCCCCTTTTAGGACTATGACGCTGTGGGGTTTTTTTTCCTGGTTATTTTTCCACCTGGCAGTAGTTCTGTATTTTGTTTTTGTCTAATGTAGCATTTCTCAGCTATTGACATTTGACCATCCAATTCCGGGCAACAAAGAATACATTGTGCTCCATTCGCACACAGGAATCCCCATCCCTTCATCTTGGCTTAAAAACAAATTAATAGAGAAAAATGTGTATTGTGTAAGCTGGAAAGCACAGTCATTGTTTGTGCAGTGTCTGACTTTTGAGAAGCATGGATCTTCTCTATTTACTGCTTTGGAATCTCTGTGTTTCAAGGACAGGTCAGTGCCTCTTCATCCTACCACTTCCCTAGTGCCATTGCACTCTGTATGCCACTGCAGTGTGATTTGACTCAAATTTTTTGCAATAGGGGTTCCACAGAAGTTTCCCCAGAGTTGGTCTCAGTATCAGAAGGGATAGTTTAATGGCCTCAAGAAGCAGGCTAGGAATTTTCCTTGGGAACAGCAGGCTCAGATCTACAGCTTGCTCAGTCTTTCCCCCTTCTGAGGACAATAAATTGAATAACATGCAGTTTACTGCGTACCCACAAGAGAAGTTGTGGAGGAGAACCCAAGGCCGGCCACTCAGCGGGTGCAAATCAGTATGCCTTTGCTAGCTTACACCAGCTGTAGAGTTGGCCCCAAGGTTTTTGTGTTCACATTATCCTGGGGCTCATATTGCAAGAATGCAGGGCTGGCCAGATGTGCTGGCTGCTGTGCTCCCTTTCCTCCATGACTGACAGGGTACCAGGGGACAGGGAGCTGCCACTCCCTGCCCTGGAAGCAGCCAGGTTGGAGCTGCAGGTATAAAGTCTGGAAGTTGCTTTGGGATCTCTGGGAATGGCTACAGCACGTAAATGCGCTTACAGGATGTATCAACAGAGTAGCAGAGGAAGTTTTCCCCTTGGAAGTGGTGTTCATCTCCTCCCCCAACCCAGCATATGGAATTCTGGATCACATTTCTCTCTCTTGCCAATAAATATTGCAGATTTATTGCTCTATACCTGGTGGGTAGTAAATTGCATTCCACCTCTGTTATAAGGCTCTTTGCTATGACATAGCCTTGCAGCTCCATTAAACCTTAATTACAGCAACACTTCATTGGGTTGCTGCGATGGTCTGAGTGCCATTGCAGTGGAGAGGATGTATGGCCAAAACAGGCTGACGCAGAGACGCTTTGTTTTGTTTTGTTTCCTCCCTTTTTAAGGATTATGGAGAGTTGAGCCCGGCAAGGGGAATAGATGGAGAGCCCCTCGCGCTCTGCTCATTTTCCACAACAGCTGGCTTCACCTGCCACAGTCCCTGTAGCTCTTCAGTCCCTGACTGAGTGCTCAGCAGTGTTCAAAGTTGCCTTCTTTAGGTGACTTATTCGTGTCTGTACTTCTGATCGGCATCCCAGGTTCAGTGTTATCTTTGTTTGAAAGCATGAAGAGTGCAGGGCTTGGATTTCTAGTGTGTAGCAAGACAAATTTAAGAGTCAGTGACTGAGATCACTCTTAGCAGATGGATTGTTTTGTGTCAGCTGAAGGCATTATTTCTGGTGCCATCCTTGCCCACCTGCCAATATTCATCCCTGCAGCCTGTGGCTTTGGCTTTGGACATCAAACTGGGTCTTTGTGGACCCCTGGCCCCTCATAGACTTGCACTCAGTGCTAGCATGCATTGCACAGACAGCCCTCCTTGGACTAGCGTTCATGTCTTCCGGCTCTGTGATGAGCTAACCAGACCACTAATCACTGTGCCAGCCTCTTGGATCCACTGCACCACCTCACAGGTGAGTGCTGTCATCGGATCCGTCCAAGAGAGAGACTGCTTGGTTCCAATTGGAAATGATTTGCTGCCTCGGTTGTACTGGTGCGTTGTCAAGTGGTACAGATGGTGTAGATATGACCATAACTGAAGCTGCTCCAGTTTAATTTTGGGACTATCTGCTGTTAGCATAATGCTCTCACTTTCGTAATGAGTTTGACTTTTGTGGTCATACTAATGCTTCAGAAGTCCACTTGTATCAGTGAGAATACTTCTATTACTTTGTTTTACCACATCCATAACTTTATCTACCCAAATATCTATATATCATTTATATTCAAGTACCCAAAAATGTTTGTAGGTAGACAGCATGGAGATCTTCTACCCCACTGCTATAGCAAAAAACTACCGGAAAGCAACTAAAATCTTTCTACAAATTTAGTTGCTGTGCTCTTTAAAGAGTAACTAACACATGAAGGATACTTTTCTGTGGAGAGTCTATTACAGAGCCTTGTTTGTCCTCATTCTCCCCTCCTTCAGCAACCTTGAGATGTCAGACATAGGAAATGTGGCCACAGCTGTTTATGCACTTAGGAGGTTTTTTTTTCCAAGGCCGCATCCTTCTATTCTGTAGATTACTTGAAAAGATGCTACAGGGACTCCAGAAAGCCAAGGTCTGTGTGCCATGTGCAGGTGTTGCCAGGAGATTGACATTTTGAACATTTGAAAACTATCAGAGAACTGATTTGGTGCTAGATTTTTTTTCCTCTCCTCCCTCCTTCCCACTTAAAGTGTATGTTAGAAGGCTTCTGCTGTAGATTGATATTCCTAACAGGTCCATGTTGCTCAAGTAACAGTCACACACGATAGCACATAGTAGGAGGAACATAGCTCATCACACGCAGCTAGGAAAG